ATGAGACCGAACAATGCAGAAGAGCTGAAGGCCGCTATTGAAGCATCCCAGTCTTCTATAACACCTCAGCAATGCCACAGGCTGATAGCGTCCATGCCACACCACATTGAGGGAGTAATTGCTGCAAAAGGGGCCCAAACCAAATACTGAGTACATATGCATGGTTATACTTTTCAGAGGTCCAATATTGTTCTATGTACAATCCTTGTTTTATTGGGTTTTCATGAGCTGTACGCCATAATCATCACAATTATGACAAATCACGGCTTGAACTACCTTGCTTTGCATGTAATGAGTCTTATCTCATATATTAGTTTCACCTTTTAAGTTGCATTATAAATGAACTTTTGCACGATATTCTAATTTTTCAAGTTTCACCTGTATATTTTTTCCTCTTGGAAGGAATCTTCTATTGGATTAGGCTGGTCTACAGAACTGATTTTTAAGCTTTCTTATCTCTTTCAAAGATGTGTTTTGGGTGATAATTTTTGTTATATATTAAAACTGTTTATAATTCATTTCTCAATGAGCTAACATTTAAAAATGTTTTTTTTCCTAAAATGTAAAATATAGGCATGAAAAGAGAATGTATTTCTGTGAGCTTTATTACTTTTTTCAGTAAACTTTTAAGCACCCATCTTTAATAACACACCAGAAAATTTGGACAAATGTGTTTAAACATATAAATAAGAATGTATGTAATTAAATACATGAAACAAAAATGAAATTAAAGAAAAGCGGGGTTTCTCAAAAAAATTGACCACGAAGCAAAAATAATTAATACAAAAACATCCAATGCTATTTCTATTCCTATTTAATTATCGTCTGCCTCGAGATTTATATTGTTGCCAAACTTTGCATAAAGCTGGACTTTAAGATCTGATAATACTTTTTGGATGGATTCCACTTGTGCCTCCAAAGTTCCTATTTCTTCCTGTAAGTTTTTCTGTCAAAGAAAAAAAAATGGAAAAATGTTAAGTAAAGATTTCAAGGATACATTTTCCCTTCCAAACATTCCATCTATTACAGCAAAATCAATAAAGATTCTGTTTCACCTTAAAGAGTAGCATATTTGTTTAACAGCTAAAACAACTTTTTTTCCTTTATTGATTAGACTTCTGATTCAGAAGATCACAAGTTATAGACAGTTTTTAAAAATGTGAATCCGTCAGACCACCTTATCTGCATACTTAAAATGTTTCACCCAATTTGAAGTTTTTATATATATTATTATTATTATTACCATGGGTATTTTAATGTTACTCTAGCATGAATGCTTTATCTGGACAACCCTATGCATAAATTACTATGCAGTTAAGAAAACAATTAGAATGGAATATGGAGCCATTCATAAGTTCAAAACTGGAAAAGCAGTGCACCAAAGTTAAATATTGTCATTCTATATATTCAATGTATGTGCTGGACTTATCATGAGACTGAAAGAAACAGAAGATAGTGTTAACATTGCCAGGATATAGAAAACATAGAGATATGCTGATGATATTATTTTAGTGGCTGGAAAGAAGAAAGTTTTCATGAATCTTTTGTTGAAGTTGAAAAATGAGAGTGCAAAAACCAATCTTATGCTCAATATCAGAGAACATCACATTGATGACAAAGATACACATTGCCAAGTCATGGTTTTCATAGCTGTGAAAGTTGGCAATCAGAAGCACTGAACAAAAACAACAACAAATCAATGTCTTTGAACTGTGATGCTGAGAAATTGTTGAGAGCAAGAAAAATAGTGATTCATTTATAGATACAATAGAAGAAAGAAGACTACCTGGAAAAACATTTGCCAGATCACATCCCCCCACTTTTCTTGCTGCAATATCTTAAAAGAGCCACAGAAGTAGCACAAGGAACAGAACACACCTTTGCCTCCTCCAACATCTCTTCTGTTTCAACTTGGGGGTGACTAATGAAGACATCTCCAATTTGATATGGTATCAATAATGAATCATCGTCAAGCACCAGAATGTCATCACAGGCATCTTGCAGATTCTGGAGCTGTTTCTGTGTTTAAGAAATCAAGTTATTTTCCCCATCATGATTTAGCCATCGTGATATGGATTGTAATTCAATTTAAAATAATATGTTCATGCACACAAACACACACACGTATTTATGTATCAATGTTTGCATGCAATTCTAAACTAGCTGTGACTATCTTAGAAACAGCTTTAGAACAAAATTCAAGAGTAGAACCAGCTAGCCCTAGCAGCTATCTCTCAACGCTGAAAAAGATAAATTTAAGTGATTAAAATAGTGATAGGTTTTAAAGGCCCATGAACTGTCAATATGATTCTACAAGGTGAGTTGATTTAAACTGATTTTGAAACACCCAGTCTCATGATTCAATTTGGTGACATGACTGAATTGATTTTAATTTCCACCCAGTCATAATCGGTTTGACAAAATCCTTACTTAGATTTAAAATGCTCTCTTTAACTATATGGCTGTATGGTTGACTTATCCTTAAAAAAAGTATCCATGTTCAGAGAAATGTAGAATATGGCAGAATACTGAAAGAATCTCTCTCTTGCAGGGGAAAAATAAAGTATGGTTATGTTTAATTTTGTGGGAGAAATGAGTTACTACTCTGAGATAATTAATAACATTTGTACACTATTCAACTTCCAGCAATTCTGAAAACTTTTGTGGCCAATTTGAGACCACATCAAACTTTACCTAACACAATTAGCTAAAAGAAGAAATATATGCCAACAATATTATAACCTGGTAGAAGAAATATTTCTACTGCAAATTTCTTCCCACTCTGCTAAATCAGTGAGAGAAATCTGACCTTTTACTATTTATACCATTGCCAGTTCTCCTGAATACCACCAGCACACAAATGAACCAAAGAATAAAGCTTTGGATAGTAGCACACACATTTTTTGCCAATTAACCTTACAGAAAAAGTATTTGATTTGATTTGATTTGGGAATGATCTGATTTTCGTTACCTTCTTATCATCTATTTCTTCTTTAAGTTCTGTAATTCTACTGGTGTTTCTAGCAAACTTGTTGATTTTCTGCTGATCTTCAAAAGTAACATTAACGTCTTCTGCTGCCTATACAAAAAACAAAAGAGCTCCTCAAATATATTGCATGTGAATAATAATCCGCTTTTTTCAGTTAAACGAGGTTACATCATACACACCATTATTTTAGCTTGTCGGAGAATAATCAGGTTATGTTCTAAGACAGGAAGTGATTACATATTCAATACAGATAAGATGTTGGCAGAACGAAAGCACAACATTGACAGACAAGGAGTATAGGGAGAGTATAAGGAAAAGTCCTTAGGATATTTGCATACACAATTGTAACCATAGGAAACACCTGAGATCATAAACAAAACAAGTCATAGTGGCCTGATTCATATATAGCATTAAGCTAGGGCATATTTAGCTGACCAAATCAAAATAGCTAAGACTGCATATAATGCTAAATACAACAGATGTCTCAGATGACTCTACAATAAAAGGCAAGCAAACCTCACAATGTTATTATGCTACAGTTGAACTATGCCATTATTTTAAATTGGGGATAGAGGGGATAGACTAATGAATAAATAGGAGAACTGTATGTCCATAAAAATAGAAAATACACAACAAATCAACTGCAATAGAAAAATAGTAATAGTTCCTTACTCTCACAACATATGGACAGACTCAATCATATTTTCAAGGAGAAAACAGTGAGCATTCTAGATCAAACTAAATCCAAAACATTAGGGAATTCCTGTGACCAACCATCCATCAATAAAACACATAGAAAAAGCATATTTACAGTCAGTCAAAAGAGACAACAAAAAGAAGAAGGAAACAAAGACCAGGACTTACAGTATCATCTCTAATAGCAGCATTCAGATAAGCAGGCATTAACACCAGACAAACAATAAAGCAGCAAACAATACCCTAATCAAGGAACTCCCAAGGAGAAAACCATACACACCCCAACACTGGAAGAACAAGCTACTGTATATAAACAAGAAGCAACTCCCCTTTACTATCAATGATAATGTTACCTAGGCAGAGAATGAAATGCCTACAAGCAACCAACCAAACTCAGAAAGAGCACCAAGAATTCCACAGAATATTCTACTAGTCAAATAAAAAGGGCAGAAGAACAGAATAAATATGGAACAATGAATCGGTTTTCTCCCTCAATAATTTGGAGCAAAGAAAAGTAATCCCAAGATCAGCATCAATCTAATGCAGTTAGTTAGACAATCTAATGCAGTGGTTCCCAAAGTGGGCGGTACTGCCCCCTGGGGGGCAATGGGATGACTTAGGGGGGTGCTAAGAGGCAAAGGAGTGGCAGGGGGTGCTAAGAGGCAAGGGAGGTGGCAGAGGAGTGCTGGAGGTGGCCCCCTCGCAGGGTGCAATTCTGGCTGGGGCTCTGTTGGCCACCAGTCAGCTGAGCACTTCCGGCAGGGGTGAAATTCAGTCTAACGTCCCAAAGACTGGAAGGATTTTTCGCTNCCATGACATAAATTAGGGTTTCCCCCCCCAGAAACCTCTATGCTACAAAACCATTGTGCTTTGTTGCATTTTGCTATCTCTCACTGTATGTAGATCTTGGGCAAGAAGCTAGAAATATAGTGGCCCTTCCTACTGATACACAAAGGAGAAAATTAGTGGATGATTTCTGAAGATTTGAAAAGAATGAGGATAATCCAGAACCTATCCTGAAATATTTTAAGAAATGGGCCTTTTAACTAAGAAGGACATATGCTAAATGAGTTTTATCTCTACTAGCATTCATCTTACCATATTTTTGCTCAGAATAAAGACATTCTACTACACACCTCTCACATCCTGGACATAAATTGTTTCAACTTCTCCCCTCAAAAATGACACTATAGGACACTGCACACTAGAACAACTAGACACAAGGACAGTTTTTTTTCCTGAATGCCATCACTCTGCTAAACAACTAATTCCCACAACACTGTTAAATTATCTACTAAGACTGTACTACTATTGTTCTTCTCTTCCTTCCTAGTACCTATCTCTTACCATTTATGACTATAACCATGTTTATTGTATCTTTACAATTTATATTGTTTTATTTGTTTCTTAATATAATTTGATTGCTTATTGGTAACGTATGACTATCACTAAGTGTTGTATCTTATGATTCTTGATGAATGTATTTTATTTTATTTTTCTTTATGTACACTGAGAGCCAGTGACATGCGGTGAGGTTCATGGCTGGTGAGGCAAGCGGGAAAAAGCCACCCTATGTCTGCCCACCCTGGGGCTTCGGCGGGGCTTTTGAAAAGCCGCACCAGCCCCAGCGCGGCTTTCTGAAAGCCCCGCCAAAGCCCTGCTGCCACATCTGCCATAGAGAGGGACACATCCCGCTCTATGGCGGATGCGGTGCCGGGACTGCCACCAGGGTGCTGCTGCCACTTTAAAGCCCTGCTGCTGCATCCGCCATAGAACAGGATGTGTCCCGCTCTATGGCAGACACGGTGCTGGGACTTTAAAGCCCTGCTGCTAGGGCCCTGCCACCACTTTAAAGTCCTGCCGCCATGTCCACCATAGAGTGGGATGCGTACCGCTCTATGGTGGACATGGCACCGGGACTTTAAAGCCCTGCTGCCGGGGCCCTGCCGCCACTTTAAAGCCCTACCGCCACATCCACCATAGAGCAGGATGCATCCTGCTCTATGGCGGATGCAGCGCCGGGAGTTTAAAGCCCTGCTGCCGGGGCCCTGCCACCACTTTAAAGCTGTGGAACCCCGTTCCCTTCTCCCAACCTCCGTGCCGTGTCTCCCTCTCTAAACTTCCGAGCCGTGCTGGGGCCAGGAAGCAGGGCCGGCCAGCAAAGGCCTGGGTGTGGGCAGAGGAGCTGGTGGCAGAACCGGGGCCTTGGGCGAAGCGAGACCGAAGGGAGAGCAGGAGGAGGCCACCTCGGCCTCACCTCCCGGCCACAGATTGCGGAACAAACTGGAAGCCAGCAACTTCCGGTGGCGGCATTTGGGAGGATCTGCCCCCTCCATAATGCCGCCTTTGCAAGGCAGGAGAAAAGATTTTTTGCAACCATTTAGAGGAGATGGCACAAGCTTTACTCGAATTAATTGGTCATAAATTCACAATTTTCTTCTCTTCCCGCCTCCCCTTTGTGTCCTACATTAAAAAAAAGTGCCAGTAAAACACACACAGAGACACACAAATTACTTACAATAATAAAATTACTTATAAATTACAATAATTTTGAATTCCTCCCCTCTCCCTCTGACCCACATACCTTTTCCAGCTGTTTCACAGAGGATTTCAACTCT